AATCTCCTTGGGGGCTACATGACCGTAGTTTAAAACCAGTAGGAGGTAATTCATGAGCCTGAAAAATACCTAAAATGAGAACTATCCAGGATTCCACTAATGTCCAAATACTCCTGGACTTATATTAAGCACAGCTTTCTCAAACTTGTTCCCAGAAAAGGTGGAATATGACACCTGGCAAGCACCGTTAAACCACAGTGGTCTCCATATTCAGGAAACGGAGATGCTACAGCAAGGGGAAAGGCAGTCTGGGTATCACCCAGCACCAATAGAGAGATCACAGAAAAACCACAGGGTTCAATAGCTTCCAAGGCCATGAATCTGTAGCACTGGTACAGCGTCTGTATTGGTATAGATAAGATGATGGTTGAACTACCCAACAGAGATGACCCACACATAAAGATGTAGTCTACCATTTGTGGGTGTGCTCTTTGACCTTATAGGCAAAACCCAGGAAGTGAAATCCTTGCCTCATTAAAGTCAAAGGCAAAACTTCCATCAATTTTAATTACATCAGAATTTCTCCCAGGGAGTCCTGTCACTTCCACTCAAAGGAGCATTTGAACGTGGACTGTCTTAAGAAACAGACCAATTTTTATATTATCATATTGACACTGCAAGCAAATAATAATCAAATTATAGTGTTAAAATGTGATTGGTAAAACAATGTCAGTACAAGTCAGTGCAATGTCAGTACAATGCCTTAATATAACATCCGCTCATATGAAATGTCTGTAACAGCAATGACTTCAGGAAATGGAAGAAAATCATATCACTGTTAAGTCAATGAAAATGATAAATACATCATGCTTTGAAGTCTCGGCTCAGGAATGTTTTGCTCCAGGAATAAAGATTGCTCAGAGCTCACAGAACTGAAGATTCATTAACATTTCATCCCTTCTCAGCACAGTGTCTGAATTTTAATATAATTGCACCCAAAACTATGTTAAGAGAACTGTAAGGAAATTACACAATTAAGGTTGCTCTTACAGCCTTAACATTGCCCTTTGGTTTGTATCCTTTTACAGCACAATCTTGAATTATATGACATTTTGTTTCAGAATAATACAGTATACTACCATAAAATGTTCTGTACAGTCTTAGGAGTAGATTATGACCCTTTATGCACAGCTATTACTCACATGAGTGTTGCTTCTCATTTTTAAAATTTGTTTATATTTACTCTTTTCATTATCTCAATGATAAGAACAATCCTTATTGTTTGAGGGCACAGTCCTGCAAAGGCTAGGTCTACACTGCAATGTTAAATTGGAAAAAGAAATGTAATTTGCGGTATGTAAATTGTGTATCTTTTTCTGATTTACTTTTGAAAGAGGCTCTTTTGAAATTTGGCACGTCTTCACAGCGCCAAATGTTGAAAGAAAGTGCTCTTTCGACACATCCCTTATTGCATGTAGAACGAGGTTTACAGGGATGACAAAAGAGCACGTCTGCTTTTTCATTCCTTGGACATAGCGTTGCTTTTCCGGGATACCTCTGGTATCCCAAAAAAAGCAATGCAGTCTAGACATAGCCAAAGTGTTGCACACTGGTTTTAATTTTATAAATAAATTCTTCTCTCTATAAATATCTTAATAATTGAGTCAAAAAATATGTACTATATTTTTTTCTAACCACCAGTATAGTTTACCATGGTTTCAGCTCAGGGTTTAATTATATTAACTCTGGGACAAATACAGCCCCTCCTTGCTCATATTTAATAGTACTGTACTCAGCAGTTATTCCCATTAATTTCAATGGAATGACAGGTGGAACAAAGAGTTATTCATTTGTGATCAATGGTATCACAATTTGGACCAATAAATTAATGTAGTTACACATTTAGGTACCTGGATCTGCCAACAAATTTGTATTAATACTTTGTTATACATAATAGGCTGATTTTCATTTGCAGTGAAAGCACTTAACACCATTCTGGCAATGAAAAGTGACCTTACATTAGATGTAAATATAGTTTACCCTCACTTTAAGCCTACTTTACATAGCAAGCACAATCTAAAGTAGCTTTAGAGTAAATGAGAAGCAAGCCCTATCTGCTGTGTCTTGTGAAAGAAGTGTTATTACTTTCATGAACTCTGGCTATCATACACAGTATTACAATGTGTAGGAAAAAATATGACATGACCTTATTTGAGAAACAGTATGTAATTAACTTTAAGCATGATTCTAATTTCATAGAATCATAGAATCATAGAATCAATTTAAGCCCATTGCTTCTTGTCCTATCACCAGAGTTCAAGGAGTATAATTTTTCTTCCTTCTCCTTATAGATACTTTCCTTTTAGATACTTGAAAACTACTATCATGACCCCTCTCAGTCTTCTCTTTTCCAAACTAAACAAACCCAGTTCTTTCAGTCTTCCCTCGTAGGTCATGTTTTCTATATCGTTTTGGCTGCTCTTCTCTGGACCTTCTCCAGTTTCTCCAGGTTTTTCTTGAAATGTGGTGCCCAGAACTGGACTTAATACTTCAGTTGAGGCCTAATCAATGCAAAGTGATGCCTGCATAACCCTACTTGTCATGCTCTTCCAGCATGACTGTAAATCATTAATAACTACTCTCTGAGAACAGTTATCCAGCCAGTTATGCACCCACCTTATAGTAGCCCCATCTAGGTTGTATTTCCCTAGTTTATTGATAAGAAGATAATGTGAGACCGTATCAAATGCCTTACTAAAGTCTAGGCATACCACATTCACTGCTTTCCCCTTATCCGCAGGACTTGTTATCCTATCAAAGAAAGCTATCAGGTTGGTTTGACATGATTTGTTCTTTATAAATCCATGCTGGCTGTTACCTATCACTTTATTATCTTCCAGATGTTTGCAGGTGAATTCCTTAATTATTTGCTCCATTCTCTTTCCTGGCACAGAAGTTAAGCTGACTGGTCTGTAGTTTCCTGGACTGTTCTTATTTCAGTTTGTATAGATGGGCACTATATTTGCCCTTTTCCAGTCCTCTGAAATCTCTCTCGACTTCTATGATTTTTCAAAGATGATAGCTAAAGGCTCAGATACCTCCTCCATCAATTCCTTGAGTATTCTAGGATGCATTACATCAGGCTCTGGTTACTTGAAGACATCTAACTTTTCTAAGTAATTTTTAACTTTTTTTTTAACTACTAAATCTACCCCCATTTCCACTAGCATTCACTATGTTAGTCATCCCATCACCATCAATCTTCCTGGTAAAAACTGAAATAAAGAAGTTGTTAAGCACTTCTGCCATTTCCAAGTTTACTGTTATTGTTTTTCCCTCCTCCCTGAGTAGTGGACCTACCCTGTCCTCGGTCTTCTTCTTGTTTCTAATATATTTGTAGACTCTTTTCTTGTTACCCTTTATGTCTCTAGCTAGATTGAGCTCGTTTTGTGCCTTTGCCTTTCTAATCTTGCCCCTGCATACTTGTGTTACTTGCTTACATGCATCTTTTGTAATTTGACCTAGATTACACTTTTTATACAACTCCTTTTTGATTTTTAGATCTTGTAAGAAAAATCATACTCTGCCCTATTTCAATAAGGGCTCAGTTGAGCCTTGAAAACAACCTGGAGTGGAAAGCTTGGAGCTGCAGGTCCCCAGGAAGACAGAATGCCTCATGGGTCACAGTCATGCCCATTGCTACACATAATTATGGGCTGCAGTATTCTTCCTCCTGTATGTGCCACAGGACAATGTAGAGGGGTAAGCCCACCTAGAGTGCTGTGACCCCTGAAAGTATGGTAGGAGCTGGCCCTGCACTTCCCTGAACACAGGGATCACAACTGTACCTAGCCTTTGTTTGTGCCATGTTCACTCCTGCTATCTCAGGCACAGTCTAGGCCCTAAAGCTGTTTGCTGCAAAGTTAAGTTTGTCAAGCACATACATACAAGCACAGCTTTCTTTAACTACAAATGTTATCATCATAGTGGGAAAATTCCTTATGAAGTGTTCTCTGCAAAGACAGAGTGCAATTTTTATAAAGGCTATAGCTTAGCTAAACCAAATTTCTGTGCCAAGTTTTCCTGACTGTGTCCAGCTGCTTCAGTGATGGAGTTATTCAGACAGTCACTATTTAGGTTTCAGAGGTAGCTCTGTTAGTCTGTTTCAGCAAAACCAACAAGGAGTCCAATGGCACCTTAAAGACTAATAATTTTATTACGGCACAAGCTTTCATTAATTCAAGGGAGAATGAGAGTTACACTCATGAAAGCTTATGCCATAATAAAATTGTTAGTCCTTAAGGTGCCAGTAAACTTATTATTGTAGTCACTATTAATTCATTTTTAAAATTAGAAAGTATTTTTTCTCCAGGCTCCTCCTACTCCAGAATGAATGTACTTGTGTAACCCTTACTTTCCCTTTCTCAGTGCCTCTGTGTTGCACTTGTCTTTACTTGAAACTTTCTCAATACTTTCACCTTTGGTCAGAGACCAAGCCTGACAAATCTCAGCCTGGAAAATGAAGGTTTCATACAGTACTAAGTGACTGAACACAGGGCATTAGAATGGAAACATACTGCATGCAACTTTCATTACAGTGATCACTGACACTAGACTACTGTAGATGCAAAACAGGCAACCCTAAGGGCAAGGGGACAGTTACCTAATACATTATTATAGCACTATGCATCCTGATGTAAAAACTGACATTGTAGAAAAATTATTTATGCAACATTGGAGGCTTTACAACCCCCAGGATTTAGATTATAATCAAAATCACATGAATCTGTAATTACTTTTAATGGTCTTCAAGAGAGAATTCAAGATGTCAAGGTGCGATTTGGGAAACATACACGCAAAAACAAAGCATCCAAAAAAGAATGCAATAGTCAGACATTGTAAATATACATGCAATGTAAAATACTCACATGCAAAACAGACATGTAAAATCCCACAGACTAACACGTGGAACACGCACATAACACTGCTTGTGGTTCATTTATCTCCCTATTGTTGCCCGTACCCTAATAAATGCATCCACACAAGTCTAATGCACTTACTAGAATCCCCTGATCCTGGGAAGAGGGGTTCAGAGAAGCAATCTGCAGGCAATCCCTTGTACCTGGAGTTGTCCAGCCCTGCACATCCCCAGCTGATATCTTCACCTCGTCCTTTCTTCCTTTTTCATGACAACTTAAGTCGGGTTACACCAGGTCTGAGGGGCCGGCATTCGGAAAAGTCAGTACAACCGGACACAGATGGAAACAGCTGCAGGAAGTGACTGCAGAACCGGGGGGAGGAATAGGGGAGGAGACTCGGGGAAACTGCCTCTCGCATCTCTGCCAAGGCGCATGAGCCTCAGCGCTTCCCTCCGGAGAGGCGTAAATAGAGCTGCTGCAAGTGTCCGAAGCGAGGCGTCCGATCGCCCCGGCAGGACCAGAGCGGGCAGATCTGCGCCAGGCAATAGGACCTCGCCAGGATTTGTACAGCTTGTGGTGCCCGCAAAGCACGCTGATGGAGAGAGGAGGGGCTGGGGAAATGATAAGGGAGAGACCGGGAGGGGGGGCCGTTCACTAGGGGAGGAGATGAAGAGAAGGGGCTGAATGGGGAGCCCCTAATGTGGGGGAGTCATTAGCGCAGCCATGGAGGTGGGGGTGGGCTTGGAATTGTGAGTGAAGGGCATTGAGCGGGAGGTGTCTGCTAAATGCCCAATGGTGAAATAGAGGGGGAGGGGGAAGCTGCTGTTTTAATTGCCACTTTCAGCTTTCCAGTGAGCTGGACTGGGCAGCTCACCTCTCTCAGAGCTGTTGCTCGGAAAACACAGCAAAGGCTTTCATGTCATTGTAAAGCTTTCTCCGCAGTCACAATCAGGGAAATCCGTATGGACTGGAATAGGCACGTGCTAGGGGTTGCTGCTGAGTCCTGTTTCATTCACAGCATTCTTACTTGCCTCAAGGCTGCAGGTACCGTCATACTTGGTCAGACCAATGGTCCAGCCAGCCAGTATACTGTCTTCCAACCACAGACAGCACCAGATGCCTCAGAGGGAGTGAACAGAACATGGAAATGTATTGAGTGATCCATCCCCTGCCATTAAGAGATTTCGGGACTCTCCAAACATGGGGTTACATCCCTGATCATCTAAACTAATGGGCATTGATCCTCCATGAACTTATCTAATTCTATTGCAGAAGCTCCTATAGTCTGACCTGGTCAGGCTCCGCTCTCATCTTATGCTTAGGTTGTAAGCTGTTTTAGGCAGGAATTGTTTTTTTACTGTGTTTGTACAGCACATTGAGGTCTTGACCCATGACGGGCTCCTAGCCAGTATGACAATAATAAAATATAATGTTAATAATCCACTATATGTTTTAGAAACTTTGTGTGTCTGTCCGTCCATGAGTCCATTTGTTCAAGAACCCCTCCTAACTGGTAAGAGGTAGAGCACCACATTTGATATGCAGCTGCCTCTTATCATAACTTAGGTGTGCCATGACAAATGGGATGCATCTGGAATTTGTTTCTTTCTCATAAAATGGAAAAGGTCCAGTAGGAGGGACAATTATACTGTAGAACAGTGGTCTCCAACCTTTTTAAGCACAAGATCACTTTCTGAATTTGAGTACAATCCAAGATCTACCTCAAATAAAAACACCCTTGCCCTGCCTCCTTCCCACCTGTTCTCTGAAGCCCCACCCCTGCTCATTCCATCCTCCCTTTCTTGCCCATCCTCATTCCCTTTCATCAGACTAGGGCAGAGGGTTGGGGTACAGGCTCTGGTCTTGGATTAAGGGATCTGGAGTGTGAGAGGGACTCTGGGCTGCTCTTGGGGCAGGCAGTTGGGATGTAGGAGTGGGTTCTAGGTGCCGCCTCTGGAATGGTGTTTGGATGCAAGGGAGTTTGGGGTGCAGGAGGGGGTTCATAACTGCGGTAGGAGTTTGGGATGTGGGCTCCAGCTGGACACTGCTTATCTCAGGTGGCTCCGGGTGGTGGTGCAGTGGGACTAAGGCAGGCTCACCCCTGCCCTGGCCCTCCACCACTCCCTAAAGTAGCCAGCAAACTCTCTCCATTCCAAGTCCTGTTGTGCCCCCTCTCTGCTTTGTGGAGAAAGGATACAGAGTGGGAGGAGGCAACCTGACATCAGCACCTCTCCTTTTCCTCCCCTGCCCTGCACAGCAAACAGGAGGCTCCCCAGCAGGAGGGGCAGCTCCAAGGCAAAGGGCAGGAGATGAGCAGCAATGGGGGGAAGCGCAGCTGAAATGCTGGCACTTGATAGCCTCTTGGCCAAACCAGTCAGGATCACCTGTCAGAGGCTTCAAGATCTATCAGTAGATCCTGAGCTATTGGTTGGTGACCACTGCTGTAGAATGACCACAGGGGAGTAGTAAGGGACAGGGGGACTGGGACAGCTATAACCCTATTGGGCCAGCAGGGAACAGGGATGGAGAAAGGGACATGTACCTACGCATATTTCAGAGAGTTTATTTCTGTGTGTCTGTCTATCCCCAAGCTGGGGGACATGCACCTCTTCCCCGGCTGTGCCAGCTGCAGTGGCCATGCAGAGGCACTTTTCACCTGGCCCCAAGCTGCTGTGGTGAGAAAAGGCTGGAGTTGCTCTCTTTCCTAGGGATGTAAGAGACTAGTCAACTATCTGATAATTAGAAGCTTATCGGATAGTCGACTAGTGATGATTAGCCACTTCCTTCCCTTCCCCCCCTTGCTGCCTCTGTCAGAGAGAGGCAGCAAGGGGGGGAGCAGGAGTCAGTGCTGGGGGGAGCCAGCTTAAAAGCCAGTTCCCCCAGCACCGTTTCCACGGGACTGGGGAGGTAGAGGCACAGTGGAAATGGTGTGAGCAGGGACTGACACAGTCTTTGCTTGTGATGCTTCTGCTGCGATTCTATTTTTGAAATGTACAAGAGCCCCAGTGAGACTCTTATACATTTCAAAAGCTGAGGCGCTGCAGAGAGCTCAGGGCTAGTGGGATCTCCCACTGGTCCCATGCTTCCTGCAGGGCTTCCTTTTGAAATGTACAAGATCCAAGAGTGTGGGGATCTTGAACATTTCAAAAGGAAGCCCCACGCTCCCTGTGCGCCTTCCACTTTTGAACTATAGCAAGAGCTGGATAGGGCTCTGTGACCATGTCCACCCCCTTTCAATCTAGTACGGGGTCCGGTCAGCTGTCTCTCCAAGCCCGTCGGTTAGTCTCCTCGCGTTGGGCTTTACAATATTTGCTTTTTCCTTGGATGGGGGAAAAAGGGGGGCCTGGGCCCGCCCTCACTCACGGGCCCCAGCCCAGGGCCCTAAGGACTGAGACTCCAGTCTCCGTCCGGCTGGTGGGGTTGTGCCCCTAAACACGCCAGCCCACGGGCTTCTTCGCCGCCCTGCCCTGGGCTACTTCCTTCTTCCCCCACCCCCTCTCAGGGGTATCGGCACTCATGGCGTCTGAGCGTCCCAGGGGAGACGTCCACGGGAGCGTCCGGATCCCTCCACCCTCCAGCAGGTCCAGGCAATCTCTTTCTCCCCCCTACCTCCGGCGGCTGGCGGGGGTTTAAAGTTCCCGCCGCACCGGGAGGGGGTAGGTGCTTTGGCCCCCCCCC